TCAAGGGGTCTGAGACAGGGTGATCCCCTGTCCCCCTTGCTCTTTATTTGTGTTATGGAAATTCTTACTCTGTTTTGCAAGAAGGCAGCTGATTCTGGTTGTTGGGAATGTTTTGCAATTTCCCCCGAGGGGGAAAAAAGTCAATATTCTCCAATTTGCAGACTCTTTGTGGATGCTTCTCTTGTCCAGTTGGATCTTGTCCTTGGGATCTTAACCTAGTTTGAGGCGGTCTCTAGGCTTAAAGTTAATTTGAACAAAAGTCAAATCATTCCAGTGGGTCAAGTTGCCAATTTAGATGATTGTGCTGAGGTGAGTAGAATTTGCTGATAACAGTTTCAGATGAATGCCTTGTGAAGAAAAGTAGAAGAAGCTGAAAGGTTTCAGCAGTAGAGAAGAAGAAGAGAGGAGAAGAAAAGAGAGTGGGATGTTGCCAGAATTGAATAGATTTGGCCTCCAGCCCCTCTTGATTTATATACTTAAAATAAAAGAATGAAAGATTACATGAATACCCTTAGTAGGGCGGCTACTTTAAGTAGCTGAACAGTCGCAACTTAAAATAACATAAACTAATGGGCCTAAGGCCCAATTACTTTCTAACTTAACAACTTAAAAATAAAAATAAAAGGCTGGGTCCAATAACTTAAAATCGGCCCAATATCAACAAGGTGCTGGCTTGCCAGATTGATTTCCTCCCTGTGAAATATTTGGGTTTGCCCTTGGGGGCAAATTGGTTATCTTCCTTGGTTTGGGACCCAGTTATTGAAAGATTGGAGAGGGAATTAGCTTCCTGGAAGGCAAGATACCTCTCTTGTAGGGTAACTCTGATAACAAGTACCCTTTCTAATCTGCCCACTTATTTCCTATCTCTTTTCCCCATCCCAAACAAAGTAGCAAAAAGATTGAAGCAGCTTCAGTGGAATTTTCTTTGGAGGGGTTGGGAAGAGGAGAACAAAATTCACCTAGTCAATTGGGACCAAGTATGTCTTCCTAAGGCTGAAGGTGGATTAGGAATAAGGAAGTTGAAGAGCTTTAATTCAGCCCTTCTTAGTAAGTGGATTTGGAGGTTCTCGGCTGAAAGGAATGCTTGGTGGAGATCTCTTATAGCTGGTAAATATGGGGTGGAGTGGGGCAACTGGAGATCTAGGGATCCTCCTCCAAGTTGGGGCAACTCCCTTTGGAAAGGTATCATGAAGAATTTCTCTATTTTCTTGGAAGGGATTTCAGTCAAGATTGGTAAAGGGGATAGAACTAAGTTTGGAAGGACCCGTGGTGCTTGGATGGCCCTCTAGCTGATTCCTTTCCTCTCCTTTTCCAGTGTGCTTCTAACCAAGATTCCTCTGTGGCTGAGAGTGTTTGTTCGTTTGGAGATTCTGTTACTTGGACCCCTCTTTTTAGGAGGAATCTATTTGACTAGGAGTTGGAAGAGATTATGGAGCTGATGGATCTTCTTCAGATGCAGAAGATAGACCCGTTCTTGGAAGACAAATGGTGCTGGAAATAGAACCCAGATGGTGAATTTTCTGTCAAATCCCTTGCCTCCAAATTGTGCAGCTTGGGCCCCACTGATTTCCCAGCTACTCAGATCTGGAATCCTACAAGTTCATCAAAATCCAATTTTCTGGTATGGACAATGGCCCTTGACAAATGCCTTTCCAGATCTAATCTTGAGAGGCGGGGCATTCAAATTTTGGATTTATATTGTGGTCTTTGTGGGTTCCTTACAGAGTCTACAGATCATTTGTGTCTTCACTGTCCGATCTCCTCTCAGGTGTGGAAGCACTTTCTCAAATCCATGGATATCAGTTGGGTTAGGTCTAGGTCAGTTAAGGAGCTTCTCTGCTGCTGGAAAGTAAAATGCCCAAGTAAGAAAGGGAAATTAGTGTGGAGGACCATTCCTGCTGCAGTCTTGTGGTCCATTTGGACTGAAAGGAACAGTAGGATTTTCTGTAATACAGGTAAAAGTCCTAAAGATATAGTGCAGAGAGCAGTGGGCAAGCTGATTTCTTGGGTTTCTGTTACTGAGTTCAGAAGTCTGAATTTGTCTTTTTTATTTCGGTCTCACTCCTGGTGGAGCTTGTAATTTTTGTTGTTCTCAGACTGCCTTCCTGGGTCTGAGTTCTGTCTGTATGTTCTTTTGTTTTGAATAAAATTACCTTACCTTTTTCCAAAAAAAAATTTTAAATTCTCATTTGAATATGCTTTACATCTTATGTTTATGTATTTTAATTTTAGATAATAGGTTTTTTAAAACATTTATTTTAAAATTTAAGTTTATATTTTTATTAATATTATGTTTAATATATTTTTTTGATTTTTTTTTTAATTTTCTGACATTTTTTCTTGATTTTTTTAGCAATTGTTTTAGTTTTTGTGCCTTGCTTCAAAAAGGTGCGCGCCTCGCCTTGTGCCTGAGGCGCAAATTGACCTCTGTGCCTTTTTTGCACCTTGCGCTTTTAAAACACTGGTCCGTACGATTTCAGATAATAAGGAGAAGGAAAAGAAGAAGAAGAAAAGAGAAGAGGAGAGAAACTGTTCTAGTCGAACTAGAGAGGAAAAGTCTCTTCTCTAGTTGGCCAGACTTTATTTATATCTTTCTAAACAAAACAGAATTACTCTTATGCCCTCACTTAAGTGAGAGACACATCAGCTAACTTAAGATCTACTCATAATTACATTTAACATATAACTAAATGTAAAAAGCCTATACTACCCTTCTACAGCCGGCTCTAACAATATTTTGATTTATTTATTTCTTAAATATCTATAGTTTCTCATGTAAAAAGAGGAATGCAACTATTTTTTTCTTCAATCTACAAATGCGATTTAAAAAGAAGTATTAAATACAAACAATTATTATACTAAGTTTCCAATGTAGAAGGAGATTATTAGCATCTTGACATGCACAATAGGTATAAGCTATCTTGAACAATGGAATCCACCAACTTCCATTGACCTCCTTCCCAAGTCCTGGTGAAAAGGAATTAGAAAAATCCCTTTAAGAAATTAACCTTTCAGATAAAGTGTCTTTGGATTTTCAATGTCCTTCAATCATGCCTATGGTCTCTAATTTAAATGAAGAACAATATACAAGATTCCCTTTTCGTCATTTTAAAACTCATAGACCAGTTCTACATGGTTCAGCATGAAAGCTTTCTTCAAGATTAACTTTGAGTGCATCTTTGAGCTTTGCTTCTTTAGGTACCTTTTCTATAATTTTATTCTGAAATTCTGAGACTGGCTCCTTTATACTCCTTGCTATTTAAATTCATTTTGTGCCTCTGTCCATCCCTCCCAAAACAAGCACAGGTTGATACTAGAAAGCCTATTCTGTCCATATTTCTCTATACACAGGTTCTGTTAGTTTTGCCCTTAGTTATAACTTTTTTTTTGATAAATGAGTAAGATTTTATTAAACCAGAAAATAAGAGTTACATGCAACCCATGGAAAGGCACGAGATGCGAACTTTTCTTTAAAACTAGTTACAGAATTATAAGTACAAAAGAAATTACATAGAAGCCCAAAATAAAGTAGCCCGAATTTCCCCTTGTTTTGCAAGTGAATCAGCAATTGAGTTTGCTGATCTGCCTACCCACTGAACTCTGATTGTCATATTCCTTGTTAGCCATTTAACCCTTTTGAGACGATCTCTAAAACCCCAGATCAGTGTCCTTATTTATAACTATCAATGACTATTTAATGATCATTCTCCAGTAACTGTTATTACAGATAGGTTGTATCTCACAGGGAGTATGCATACAAACAAAACAAAGTTGTAGTTTTATCTAATCTAACCATTAGTTCCATGTGAGTGTCATATATTGGTAGTATTTCCTCATTATGCATTGAAAGCAATGCTTTGGGCTCTAAAATTTTGAGTAACTTTGGAAGTTTTATCTAATGTGGTGAAGTTACCATAACTTGTATGTTCCACTTTGTCAGTTTGTAGGAAAACATAGTCCATAGAATTTGGTACCCCCTATTCATTTCTTGGTTAATTGAACAAGGTGGGGGTGATCATGGGCCGGGCCTGGCCAGGTTTATCACTAATTATAAGTGCTTTAACCTAGGCCTGGGCCTGGCCTGCACCCTGGGTCTAGTTTGCAAGCCCAAGCGTAGCGTGGCCCTACACAGGCCCGGGCTGGGCTTACGGGCTTTCCGGGCCTATGACACCCAATAATAAAAATTTAATTATTTAAATTTTAAATTAAATTAAATAAAATGCAATATATGTAAAAAAATATGGCACAAGCCCAACGTAAATTGGGCTTGACTAAGCTTTGGGCCTATGCACAAAAAAAGGCATGGGCCTCATTTAATTCTTAGAGTTGCCTTGGCTTGGCTTACCTATCCTTTTATAGATGAAGGCAAGGCCTCCATTCCCATTCTTGAGCAATGTGGGACTTGGAACAACACTAAGTAATGAGTGCTACCATTGAGTGTTTTTCCAAATCTCACATTGCTTAGGCAATGAGAGTGAAGGCCTTGCCTAGAAGGACAATTTACATACTTAAGTTGTCTCAAGTGTTCACACATGTATTGACATGTGTCAACCAATTAATATTTATTTATATGTTAAAACTTAACATTTTTATATCTTATGTAGAATAATAAACATTCAGTATAAAATAATATATATAAATAAATAAATAAATAAATATTAATTAGTTGTGGGCTGGGCTTAAAGTGTTGGGCCCAAGGCCGGCCCAAAATTGTTCAGGTTTGATGCAGGCCCAGGCCGGGCCAGGCTTGCACACAAAAAGCTGGGCCCATGCCCGGAAATTTGCAGGCTGGGCCAGGCCGGGCCAAGAATGATCATCCCTAGCAAGGACATTCTGATAGAAGCTTGGATACATTTATTTGGAATTCATAATTTGTTTATTTTCATGAGATGCTTTGATTATTTTTCCCATTGTTTGTTGTAGTGCTTTTTGACATGAGGATATCACATGCTTCTTTTATGGTTGAGATTATTAACTTATACTTATTGATCCTTATTCAGGGAGAGCAGGTTCAAGAGGATATAATGGACATGGTTGATAGGGAAGCTGATGGAAGTGATAGTCTTGAGGGGTTTGTTCTATGCCATTCAATAGCTGGAGGAACTGGCTCAGGTCCCCCCCACCTCTTGTATCTCATATTTTATATTCTGGACCCTTGAGATACATTGCTTGCCTTAAGTAACTTATTACCCAAAGTATACAGCTTTGTCCAAGCTCCACAGCTGAGTCATTTTCATTCTCTGTATTTACTTTTTTTTTTTGTTTGAAAGAGGTTCAACTTATGAGACTGAACTTTCCGTGGTCCTTGAAAATGCTTTACCATGCATCTGTAGATTCTTATACTTCAGAGATTATCCAAGAAGTTGAAGTGGATTATCTAATTTTCCCGAAATATTTGCCAGGTGGTATCAATGCCAATTTATATAAGCTTATGTAAGCCTGAGTCACATAAATCTGAATGTCAATTGGATATAATGCTAGATATAAATTTGGCTGACAATTAGAGAAGCACAGGCTTTGACTAAGAACATGAACTATCCATTCAAGTGGATTCCTAGGTCAGGCAATAGCCTTGCTGACTCGTTTGCAAGGGCAGCAGTTGTAAGATCATATATGCCTTTTAGCACTCTTCTAGCATCTGTAACATGTCGTTATCTCTTTGTGTTTCTGCTCACTTTCAACCATTTGCATGTCTTCTCTGTTTGCTTGATAGAGATTCCTTTTGTGGTGCACAGAACAATGTCTTATAGTCATTTGCTAAAGAGAAATCATATATTATTTTTAACCGTGGAGTTTAGGTTTCATCATATTGTGCTCACCGCTGACTTTACTGCAGGAATGGGTTCATACTTGTTGGAGACCTTGAATGATCGCTACAGCAAAAAACTTATTCAGACATACAGTGTGTTTCCTAACCAGATGGAGACAAGTGACGTAGTTGTCCAGCCATACAATTCACTTTTGACACTTAAGCGGCTTACACTGAATGCAGATTGTGTTGTTGTTCTTGACAACACTGCATTAAATAGGATTGCTGTTGAACGCTTACATCTGGCAAACCCTACCTTTGCACAAACAAATTCTTTGGTTTCGACTGTAATGTCTGCAAGCACAACCACTCTGCGTTATCCAGGATACATGAACAATGATTTGGTTGGGCTTCTTGCATCTTTAATTCCGACACCTAGATGCCATTTCCTAATGACAGGGTACACTCCACTTACTGTGGAGCGTCAGGTGTGAGTTATATCCATGCATGACATGTACTTCCCTGCTTTTTTTATAGACTATGGCAAATATTATTCCACAGTGCCGAAACTACAAGCTTCACGAGGGTGTTCCTATTTTTGTTTGTTTGTATCTCCTATAGTCCTACCATGTGAAAAAAAATCCGGTTTTATTGTTTAAACATGACCTAATTAAGTATCATTGAAAGCATTAGTGCCTATATTATTCTTTAAACTGCCTAACCTAAGTTTAATCATTGTTTTTCATCTTTTATTTCTCTATGAAGCATTAAAGGGCTTATATTCACTAATCTTCAATGTAATACTTTTATTCTTCCCTGTGAAGCCTTTGTGAGGACTTGAAAATAGTGCCTATATTAATATTTGATATAAATTATGATTAACCTTCATTTTACTGTAGCTTAATGAAGTACTATTTTCTTATTTCCTTTCCTGTGCTCCTTTCAATTCATTTTCTTTTTGAAGTGAGGGCCCACGAGCCTCAAACCTAATATCTTGAAGCTTAATCTGTGCGTATATGAGGGGCTTCCATCTTATCCCATGTGTTAACATTTGAATAATTTCTGGTGGTAATTGGATCAATGATAAACAATTGTAATGAGAGGGCCTTGAACTTGGTTCAGGTGAGGTTTCCCATAGTCCACAACAGTGATGTGCAAACCTGAACCCTTGCCCAAGTAAATATTGGGTTGATGCCTAGATGGTTACCTATACCACCTCTAATGTTCTATTTGTAAATCCAACTTGCTAATGGTTTGGTTAGCATTGGTTCAGTTCTAGGTCTGAAAAAGGAAGAAAGAATAGAAGAGAAGAAGAGGAAGGAAAGAGGAAGAGAGTAGAGAGAACTGAAGAAAATCACCCTCTCTTAGCCGACTACCTTCTTATTTATATGTTATGTGTCTTGGTGTACAAAGACTATTATGTCCCTAATTAAGTATGGGGGGCACATAACTTGAACAAAGATAAAAAGGACAATTTAACTCTAATAACATAGCAAAAAGACCAAACTACCCTTATGATTAGTCGACTCTAACACTCCCCCTCAAGCTGGTGAGTATATGTCATATAATCCTAGCTTGTTACATATTTACATATGTAATCCACTTTCTCCCAACTCAACCCTTTTGTAAACAAATCTGCTCACTGATTTATTGAATTCACATGCATTGTACTTATCACTCCATTGAGTACCTTTTCTCTTACAAAGTGGCAGTCAACTTCTATGTGCTTCGTTCTCTTATGGAAAACTGGATTAGAAGAAATGTGGACTGCAGCTGGTTGTTACAGTACAATTTCATTCATAGGGCTGTCAATTGAGAATCCCATCTCTTGCAAAAGGTTCTTCAACCACACTAATTCACATATAGTGTGTGCCATGGCTTTGTATTTAGCTTCAGCACTACTCCTTGCTACTACGGTCTGTTTCTTGCTCTTCCATGTCATCAGATTTTCCCCAAGAAAGGTACAGTACCTTGTAGTGGATCTTTTGTTAGAAACTGAGCCAACCCAATCAACACCTGTGTAACCCTATATCTCGAGACTTCCTCCAATCTTGTATAACAAGCCACGACCTGTAGCTATTTTCAAATATCGAACAATCCTTAGAATTACATCCTGGCATGGAACCTAAGGATTCTGTATAAACTGGCTCACCACACTAATTGCAAATGATATATTTGACCGAGTAATGGTTAAGTAGTTAAATCCACCCACCAACCTTTTGTACTTTCCAGGATCTTCAAACTCTTCACCTGCATCAATACTTAATTTGACATTTGGTTCCATGGGTGTGCCTTGGTGTACAAAGACTATTATGTCCCTAATTAAGTATGGGACACATAACTTAAACAAAGATAAAAGGGACAATTTAACTCTAATAACATAGCAAAAAGACCAAACTACCCTTATGACTGCCAACTCCAACACAGTTGAAGAAAATCTGTTATAGTGTAGTGTGTAGGTGGTGCATGGTACTGTGATTTCTATTGGCTTATTCTATCTTCTATGTAGTAAGAAAATTGTAGCATAAAAATACTGAACTTTCATACAAAAGCTCTCTAAGATGAGATGTATGTGCATTTTCTCTACACAGAAACGTTACGGTTCCATGGGGGGATGGTGTAAAATCATAGACCATTTGTCTTATTGCAGATTTGGATTTACCACCCATGCTTTGCCATCCATGTCACCCTTATATATCCACCTTTTATTTCTTGGTTGTTGCACACATTTATTGAGTTCCTTTGATTTCTTATTGCCTAGGCAGTCTAATGCTTGCCTTGACTGCATTGCATCCTATTCAATTCAATATGGCTATAGGGTACCATGTTATGCCAATGTGCTTGTTCTTATTTTTGTTGCTATACTCTGACTTGCATTGCTACACCTACTGCAATTGTTCTGATAAGTTATAATAATACCACCAATGAGAAAACAAGTCCATGCTGAACATGGGGTTTACATGGTCAAAATGACTACAAATCTGTCGGATTTATCCATTATTCCATTTCTTGCAGAATCTTCCTTTTGCATTTCTTTCTTTCATTAGAAGCCTTCTGTGGTATTGTAATTTAGACTATTTCGTGTTTGGCAGGCTAATGTAATTCGAAAAACTACAGTACTAGATGTCATGAGAAGACTTCTGCAGGCAAGAGCTGCTAATTTGGTTGTTTTCTTTATTTCCATGCTTTATACTAGTCAAACCTAAGCCATAGAAAAATTTCCCAGGACTCTTATTGGTGGCATGCTTCTTACTTTGTTTCTTCTACAGACTAAGAATATCATGGTTTCCTCTTATGCACGAACAAAAGAAGCAAGTCAAGCAAAGTACATATCAATATTAAATATCATCCAAGGAGAAGTAGATCCTACTCAGGTGGTGTTTTTGCTCCCTTTACAATGCATTCATCTTGTAGATCAAGCTATCACTTGTTCACGTTAAGTGTGTGATGAGTTCAACCAATGTGGGCCATGGCAAAGCACTTCCATTAACATCTAATGTTTCATAGAGTTGAAAAATGCTTGGGTTTTCATTATGATGTTGGATGACATGCATTTCATTGAAGTTATCTTACCATTGTCAACTAACATCAGATGATAATTTCTACACTGGGCAGCTCAACTTCTAATGTTAGATCATGCTTAATTCACTATTCATCATTTTAATTCTTTATGTGTTGAATTTGTAATAGATTTGGGATTTAGAGTTGAAAATTTAAGATACAAGTTTGATGAATAATTTGTAAACTTTTAGGCTTGTAGTTATAATCTTATTAGATGATATCTATGTGTTTCTGTATGTTGATTATGATATGTTTTCTTTGTAAAGACTACTAAATTATGCGATTCTTAATGTATAGATACTGTTAGAGTTGGTCGAGTAAGGGTAACTTAGTCTTTTCATTATAGTTTAAGTAGTGTAGTGATGTGGCAATTCTGTTTTGTTTTTTATTTCTCTTGTCCCATACTTAAGTAGGGGTATATTTGTCTTTGTACCCTTATTTTAATATAATAGAGATTATGGTCGACTAGGAGGGTTTAGACTCTCTAGTTCGACAGCCTTCTTCTTCTTCTTTCTCTTTCTCTTTGAACAGGACTTATCCGTACCACTAGATACCTTATTTAGGCCTTATATTTAGTATTATTGATGTATTTTTATGATTTATTGGGTATCTATAGTGTATCCATGCCGCCATGTGTTTCCATGCATATCTTTAGGGGTGAGCATGTTTCGGTTAAAAATGAAAAACAGAACCAAAATTTCGGTTTCGGTTTTTTTGGGTTCAGTTTTGTCAGTCATCGGTTTGGTTTCAGTTCCTCAAATTTGGTTTCTGGAAGTTTGGTTATCACATTTAAAAGTTTGGTTTACTGAAAAAAACTGAACTTTTAAATGTGTAGTATATATAATAATATTTAAATGTTTTGTGTAATATATAATAATATTTTGTGGTAAATGAGAAAATTATTTAACCAAAATAAATAGTTATGCATAAATAATGTTTGATATTTATAATTTTTTTGGTTCATGAAAAACCACAATCAAATTTGGTTTTAACCAAAATAACTGAATAATAGTTTTGGTTTGGTTGTTTCAGTTTTGCCAAAGTTCGGTTTTGGTTTGGTTTTTATACTAATAAGTTCGATTATTTAAATTTTGGTTTATTAAACTGAACCGAACAAACCGAATGCTCACCCCTACGTATCTTGATTTTTCATTTGATACACATGCATATCCAAGGCGTATCCCTATGTGACTTTTAAAACCGCCTTTCTGATACACTTTGAGTTTCTGATACTTTGAACCTTGAGCTCAAGTCACCATTTTTGCAAGAATTGTTCCTTGGTGATTATATATAAAATAATGTGTGTTAGAATGTGCATGCCCTCTGTTTCAATTCTAATATATATATATATATATATTTATTTTTCTTTTATTGATATATTAGTATCATTGAGGAGGGCTTTGTACATGCTTTGAGTTTTGATTAATGCAATATTTTACTCATTGCTCTCTCAAAAAAGAAGTACCGTTGCATTTCAATTTTTCTATTTGCATAAATGCTATTTTTATTTATCTCTTTTCTTTGGTCTTTCTTTTAATGGCCTTATTTGATTTTCTTGATAACTAGATAATTTCAATTATTCAGCACTAGTAATACATGAGCTGTAGACTGTGTAGGGGGATAAAGCTTACTTTTTTACAGAATCCTGAAAATACGCTGTACTCTCCCTTTCAAAAAATTGGGATATGAAGGTGATGGTGTTTAGGCTGGTAATGCAATTTAGTTTTTGTCTGAATGTTTAGGAGAACTCCAAGAGGAAATAGTAGAAACAACTCCAAGTAAGCAATATAAAGAGAAACAAGGAGAAATAAAAGGGTTATCACCCAACACACAGGTCTGGATAGACTTTGCTGTATAATAATACCTCCAGCCTCAGATTTTAGTGTTACGCAAAGCAATGCCCCTTGCAACAGATTTTTTATAATAAATTGTCATGCTAAGACACAAATACCCTTGAGTGATTGTATGCCATATTGTATGACCTTTTAGCAACATTTACTGACCAAAATCCCCTCTAATTTCAGTAACTCAGATCAAAACACAATGGATTTACCAATCAGGGAAAACACGCAAGGATTTAGTAAAAAGACTAGGCACACTTTCGGTGGTCTCTAGTAGATCATCAGCTACAGCTACCACATCAGAAGGTTCTTGAATTCTTTTGACATCGGAAGTACAACTCATCAAGGAGGGAGGTATTATTTGCAGCCAGCCTTGGGGAGGTTTTTTATTGTCTTTTTCAGTTCTTATTTGTCTTTCCTTCCAAACTTCCAATGAGATAACAACTGGATTATTCCTCCTTAAAAGATAACCATGGTAGGCCATTCCATCAATGACTCATGAGGTTCTGGGCTAGAAGTTTATTCCATTCCTAAAAGGAACAAGAAGAAACTCAACGGTCTGGTGCATTGAAGTTGAATGATTCTTGTGGGTAGCTTGACCATTCCTCTAGGTTTCAGGTGCAGTGCACCTCCTGGGCCTAGACAGTTGAACATATTACAGAATGAAAAGCTTGTTTTCAGCTATTAGGTTTCATTTTTTACATATCAATCTAAAGTATGTCCTATGCAAATTTTCAAATTAACAAAGCTGAAATATTCTAACCATGCTTCTTTTATTTTGTTGTTGTGACTTGCTTTTCACTGGTAATTATGTATCATATCTTTAAATGACAACATGGTGTACCTATAGTATTGGTATTGCTATATTTTGATGCTTTACGTGTTCTTTGAACCAGGTTCATGAAAGCTTGCAGAGAATACGTGAAAGAAAGCTTGTTAACTTCATTGAGTGGGGTCCTGCAAGCATTCAGGTATCTTTTCCACCGCAAGAAAAAATTTGTACACTACATGTCAATTTATCTATGTAGTTTATATTGTATTTTATTCCTTTTGCAGGTTGCATTATCTAGAAAGTCCCCATATGTTCAAACTGCTCATAGGGTAAGAGTATACCTGATACTGTACAATTGATTTCCTCTTTCTTTCCAATATATGTATCTCTTTTGCTCGTATCCTTCCAAAACTTGAACCAGATCTTAATTTCTTATATGTCCTATAAGTTCATTTTGTTCCTGTACACTGATTGTTTTTTTCTGGGAGTGGGGTGGGGTGGGGGGAGGGGCAGTTGTTTTATTGTGTTTCAGAAGAATGCTCAGATTATTTTACAGGAGTTTTTACTAACTGTACCTACCCTTTTTATTAGGTTAGTGGTCTTATGCTAGCTAGCCATACTAGTATACGGCACCTCTTCAGTAAATGTTTGAGCCAGTATGAGAAGTTGAGAAAGAAACAAGCCTTCCTTGACAACTATCGGAAGTTCCCTATGTTTGCAGTAAGTTGAATGCTGTCAAGTGTATATTTATTTGAGATTAACTGTGTTGTTTTTATACTGAGAAATGCCTTTTGATCATTTTGTATATTCGTTTTCTTTTTAATTTGTAATTTGCTATATTAACAGTTACCAAGTATTGCAGTCAAACATAAGCTATTGCATCTTCCATTAAAACATAGTTCTAAATTTTATTTTAGTTGATGAGATTTGGTTTATTTTCTATTTTCTAAATTCTTTTCACTTCCATATGTATAATTATAATTGTTTCCAAGATGCAGGTTTCCCATTTGATTTTTGTAACTAACAATGTGCATCATGTGTTATGGTTCCATATGGTAAAAATTTCACTTGTTTTTCATTTATCTCATATCATTCCACTGTCATATATGGATAGGATAATGATCTTTCTGAATTTGATGAATCTCGAGAAATAATAGAAAGCTTGGTTGACGAGTACAAAGCTTGTGAGTCACCTGATTATATCAAATGGGGAATAGAGGTCCGTGCATGTTGGTTCCTGATTTTCCATCCTTAATCAATTTCCAGTTGAACTTCACTGATGAATCACATTCCATGCAGGACCCAGACCGGGCTCTAACTGGAGAAGGCAATGCTACAGGGACAGTTGATCCTAAATTAGCAGTGTAAACTATCCAAGTAAGCCATGCACTCCTGTTTCAAAGAAAACCTTTGAAGCATGGTTGGATCTTTCCTTTTGCCAAGTAAAATGAAGTTTATTTTATGAAAATTCCTTTGCAAAAGGAATTCAGAGAAGCAAGGATGTGATTAATGAGCTTGATATGGTGGAAATTCAGTGTCGAAATGGCACAACTCTGGGGCTGTAAATTTCTGTTGTGTACCACTGTATGTTTTGGGTTTGATTGTGCTTGCTTGCTTCATGCTTACTACTGCATTTCTCCTTTCAAGTCTTTGTATCTCTGCCAGCTGGAGCTAATTTCCAGTCATTTGATCATAGACCTAAAATAGGATCAGCATGCCCACTGGATTTGTGTCCAAAGCAACAAATATTTTAAAAGTGAAGCTGAAGTTGGTCCTTTACCTCTAACATGAAGCAGAAGTAGTTACAAATATCAAGGGCCATTCTCGTAACCTTGCCAGCAATTTTACTTCATGATGAGATCCACGTTTAGACGGACACCTTCATTTGATCTGGTGGGATACTGAATCCATTAGAACCGCTTTGGCAGATGAACAAGTTATCATTAGCAGCAGTTAAGAATTTCCTTCTGGGGTTGAATCAAGGATTTTCAGCTGTCAAAGTGATTCTGAGTGTATATTTTTGTTTGTTAAATAGCTTTCCTTGGAGAGTTGCTTTCCTGCGAAGACTCAACAATAATATTCTGTTCCCAACCTTAAAATGGCCTGGCACCAAATCCGATCTCCAATTTATCAAGTCCTGCCCACCCTCAAAGGTACCCAAATAGATTTAGGGCCTTGTTCGGGAAGCCATTTACCTGGGTAAATGAACTTAGCCGGGTAAATGTTTCCTGGAAATAAGTACACTTACCAGTGTTCTTTTGTTTCCTAGGTAAAGTAAGGCAATTGTCACTTTACCCATAAGATGGCCATTATTAGAAGGGGCAATGTTGTTCCATCATGTATTAGCAATTTTCTCTGTGAGGAGGAAGGTTATTTATCCAAATGGATAGAAGGTAATATTTTCCCAGGTTATTGATACACTCAAGAAGCGTTGTTTTTCATGGGACCCATTAATATTGAAAAACGAATTCTGGTTAGTTGGTCAATTCTTGTGTTGACCAATTTACTTGCTTCTTAACAGAGTTTAAAGCCATGCTTGGGAGTGCTTAAAAATAAGTGCTTATTCAAAGTAAGTTCTTATTTGGGCCATTAAGCACTTATTGGTATTTGAGGAATAAGTCTGAAATAAGTGTTTATTTTAAAAATAAGGGCTTATTTTTGAAGCCCAAATTTCCAATTTTTTTTTAGTGGTTATACAATAAGCACTTATTCAACTTTTTTCTTCCAAAATTATCTCTAGTTGAATTTTATAAAAGCACTTTTGTGAAAGAACTTTTACAAAAGCACTTTTATAAAAGTATTTTTATGAAAGCACTTTTACAAAAGTACTTTTGTAAATGTATTTTTATATTAACACTTTTAACATAGTACATTTATGAAAGCACTTTTACAAAAGCATTTTTACAAAAGTACTTTTATGAAAGAATTTTTATAAAAGTACTTTTATGAAAACTTTTATAAAAGTGCTTTTCTTATAATTTTTTCATATAAGTACTTTATAAATGTGCTTTTGTAAAAGTGCTTTCGTAAAATCCTTTTATAAAAGTACTTTCATAAAAGTGTTTTTACAAAAGTAATTTAATAAAAATGCTTTTAAAGGGTATATTTTGAAATTTTGAAAGAAAATAAAGGATAAAGTAGTCATAAATGCTTATTAGAGAAAAAGAGTACCAAAGACCCAATACAAAATAAGTGCTTATTTTAAAAAATAAGTACTTAAAAAAGTTGGGTGCCAAATACAAATAAGAGCCTTACAGAACCAATTTTATAGTTGAGCAACTGAGCACCTGAAGAAAGGTGATTAATGCTCTGCCTATTGTTATTTTCTACAAGAAGCATACAAATCTTTTACCATTCTTCCAAAACATAGATTGGTGACTAGGGCCCCACAGCAAGCCATTCTAGTCAGGAAATGGGAGTAGGCAGCTTTTTTGCATCTGAATGAAGCCCAATGTAGGCTGCTTTTCTGCATTTCCAACTATAATTCTGTCTCCTATTTTCCCATGCATTGATCTTGATTAAATGCAACGGAATTGGGAGTAGGGAAAGGGAATTGATGAATGATGACTCTTAAAAGCCCTTACTAAACTAAACAAGGCCTATGTTACCCATTTATAGCAAGGACATGGTGTCAGATAAGGAATTTACACTAAATATTAAACTATTCAACTTGATATATCACTCTTGTAGAGGTGTAATGTGGGTAGACCTGTTCATGGGCTGGGCTTTTACTCTTCATAAACAGGATTTTGTTAGGCCCGAGTCCGAGCCTGGTCTGACCAATGGGCCTACAATTTGGGCCCGAGCCCGGCTCTAATAAAAAGCCCGAAGCTCGGGCCCTGCCTAACAGAAAGATGACAAAGAGAAAGGATTCATCGCCGATGATTGTGTTCGTCAGTGCTGAGTTCATGTCTGAGAGAGAGAGAGAGGACTCATCGCTGCTGCCGGTGCTTGTGTTCACTGCCTCGCTGGTGCTTGAGTTCGCGTCTGAGATGAGAGAGAGAGAGAGAGAGAGAGAGAGAGGACTCATCGTCGGTCTGTTGGAGTTCATTGGTTGCGCTGATGAGTGTTCACTGGTTCTGTCTGCTTGAGAGTGTAAGGTTGCGCTGGTGAGTATTCAACTACTGAGAAGAGAGAATTGATGTTCGACTAGAAAGAGATGAATGAGAAGAGAGGGGTTAAGATATTTAGGGTTTTTGGTTTAACCTAAAAGTCGGGCGTTTTTAACAAATCCCAAGGTCAAGCCCATGGGTTCAAATCTGTGTTCAAGCCCGTCCGGGGGCTGGGCTGGGTTGTTGGGCTACCCGGCCCATGAACAAGTCTAAATGTGGGTTGGGTTGGGCCGGCACAACCCACTTATGTGGGCCACCACACTAGGCTGTGCCTTCTTGGCACGAATCCCCCCAAGAGGGGAGCCCAACATGAATTTTTAGAAAAATTGAAAAAAATAATGAAAAATTTAAATAAATTAACAAGATGGACAAGATATTGAAAAAAAATCTTAAAATTTTATTCCATTATGAATTTTGATATATAAAATTGTTTATATATGATATAATAAAATGAAAATGAAAAAATTACAATAAATTGCAATGAAATAGTATAATAAAATTGAAAATAAAAATTTATATACATATATTTTGTATACATATTAATACATTATTATGTATAATTATTTACATATTTATATATGTGGGCCATGCTGGCATGGCATGTGGGCCTTAAAACCCAGTGCTGTGCCGGCCCATGGGCTGCAAAGCCCCAACCTGGCATGTCATGTGGGTTTGGGCCAGGCCTGGCATGGCCTGTCTGCTACAGTAACCAGGCCGTGCTGGCCCGCAGGCAGCCTGTCCCACTAAACAGCTCTACACCTTTGTACAATTATCCAGGTATAGTAGACCAGAGCCCAGAGGCCATCCTGTTTCTTGAAAAAGGAGAAAAGCACTATTTTTCAAAAAAAGAAAAAGGAGAAAGTAAAAGAGTGCTGAACATGTTTTCCATCCAGAACGAGTTTTAGATTCATCTTGATGTAGGACAAGGCAGTGGTTTTACAAATTTCAGATCTAGTGATGAGCTTTATGGGTTGATGAAAGGAAATTTGAGTGATTAATGATGGAGAAGCAAATAGATAGCCTTCTGTCCACCAAAGAATGAAGAGATTTAGATGGAAGGAAAACTCTTGCTGTTATAGTAAACAACTAATCAACAATGAGATAGGTCGTAGTCACCTGGAAGAAGAATCGAGAGGGAAAAAAGGTGAAATTCTTAGGAACAACCAGAATTCAATAATCTAAACATTATGTTATCAAATCAACTTTTATAAATTGCAATTACTATGACCCACTTATACACAACATAAGAACTCGGATATCTCTTTACAGACTCCTCTTTACAAGACAAACCCATAAACAACTCTTAGGGATACTCAAAAAAGGACTAAACTCCTAAAGCAACTCTAGTAACAATTTTCTAATCCCAGTATCCTACTAAGACTAAATGTAAAGAAACCAAAAAATACCAAAAATAATATATTGCAATTTTACTGTAGATAATAATTATGGGAATTTTTATAAATAGTAAGTCCAAAAATTACCATAAATAATAATTTTGATTTACCAATGTTATAAGATTTAAAATCCTATTCTTAAGACACCTATAACTAAGAAATAATTTAAAAATACTCAAAAACCCCAATTCCCCTCACACCTCAAAATTTGAAATAGGTATAGGAATTGGAAAACTGATGTATTTTTACATGGATTTTTCCTTGCTTCTGTATCAACATTATTCTCCCTCTACCAAAAAAAAAAAAAAACTCGTTCTTGAGTTTTATAGTGAGAAATGGTCAAAGTTTGCTCTAGATCACAAGTTATTATAAGCTGGTACTAAGAACTACAAGGATGAAGAAATTAGCAATACAAAAGATTACTCTTTAGTCTCAGTTTGTAACGAGTACAAATAAAAATATGTAGGGTGCAAAACCTTGTATTTTGTATTATTTTGTATGTATTTGCACTATACATATTTGTATTTGTACTTCTTCCACAGTGAGCCTTATTTTCAGGAATCACAGTATCAATGTGCTGAAGCTATTTTTGATCTGCAATGAACTCTTTGAAGAGACTAGCTGGCAATCTATCATTACCTTTTAGTTGAAGTTGTTCCTCGAGCACTTACAACACATCTTTAGGCACTTCTTTCATAAACTTAGGATGACATTTCACTGTTTCAATCGTTGGTGGATTAGCAGCTAGTTGCCCTTCTTCCTTCTCAGATTTTCTTGAATCACAATTTTAAGGGTAGGAACATTGAGGGCGGTTTTATGCTGAAATGTTGTTGCATAGTATCTGTAAGAGGGCAATGTAGGAATAATGAGCTGAGGATTTGATGCCAAAATAGGCTGAGATATACTTCATTAGATTTGACGTTTCAAGATTTTCACCAATAGTTATACCCTCTATATAAGTGAGGCTAGATTTGCATTTCAAAGGTCAAATTTGTGATCCATTACAGCAAATTTCTACTCAGTTTTTGTCATCCATTACAGCAAATTTCTGCATAATCTTGTGATCCATGGCTTGATATACGGAGAATAATGCAAGGACCATGATCTGCTGGTTAGAAAGAGATTGTATAAAGTATTAGACACTTGCATATCCTGTCCTTTCCAGTTGATGGAGCATGGTTTTTGTTGTCCATGCCCTTGTAA